GCGGTGGGCTCCTGGCTGCTCTGGGAGCCCCAGCACAGCTTTTTCCATCGGTGCCTGCAGGACGGGTGAAGCACATCCCAGAGCACCTGGTGCCTGGGCTCAGGCTGGCTGGGGAGCTTGTCCCTTCTAACCTCGGTGGAGAGGAACCCAGCCAGCGTGCTGGGCATGTCTGTGCCTGGAGGTCACGCTTTATATGGGCAATGAAAGTTTTTACAGAGCAGCTTTCTCACAGGTGGTGAAGGTGTCCTGTGGCTTCTCAGGTGAATCCCGTGTGCCCTTCCCGTTAGAACAGAGGTTGCCAGTGGTGCCTGATGGGCTGTAGGAAAAGCAGGGGGCTCCCAGCAGCCCATGGGGGGAAGCTCTGGCTCTGGGCCTTGGCCCAGGTGGGAGGGCTGCTGCTGCTCGAGCTCCACACCCAGCGCTACTGCACGAAGGTCAGTGGCACGGGGACCCCTCTTTGGGCAGCTTGCTTCAGGGCTCACCCTCTGTAAGGGGAAGGAGCAGGCAATCAAGGCTCTGGCAGCAGCAAAAGTGACTGCTCCATTGTTACCCTTCCCTGTCTTTTGCGGGGAGTTTGTGTCTGCAGGCATGGGAGGTAGCCTGGAGCCCCCCAGGGAGGTTGGAGCTTTGGTAGTGCAAAGTGCAGCAGCTTTGGGCATACAGAAAAATATGGGTGACAGCTGGTGTGCTGGGTTCAGTGATTGATCTAGCCTCCCAACGTGTTTTCCTCTGCGCTTTATTTAGTGGTAACATATCAGTTCTGTCTTTCTGAGACCATGACAGGAACAGGATCAGCCTCCGTTTGCCGGACACGTTCAAGTCAGATTAGGTTTATGATGTTATAACAGTGGCAGAGAGGATTTAGAGTGTTACAAGCCACAAGGAATCATGTTTCCTCTAAGTAACTGTTGGCTTGCAGCACCCTGCCCTCTCCGGCATACCTGCAGAGTGAGGCATCCCTCTGCTATGTCTCACTGCAGGTAGCACCATGATTCCCCCTGGACACTCCTGGCTGTGAAGTCCCCTCTGTAGCATCCCCAGGGCTGTTTTTTGAGCCTGAAAACTGCAGGAGACCTCCACCTGGTGGGAACCCCTCCCTGACTTATCTAAAGTCTCTCAAGCGAAATGGAAAGTGCTTCTTTGTAAAGTTAAGTAACTCCTTCCCTGCAGCGTTTGCAATGCAGCACTGCAGCAGGGCCTGAAGCCCAGGATGCAGGGAGCTCGGGCTTGGCTTGGGCTGCAACGTGCCTGGGGAGTTGTTAGCACAGGCGTGTGTGGGAGAATAAATCAGCAGCCAAAGCAGCTGCAGAGGGATGCGAGCGTGAAGCTGAGGGCCGCGTGTCCACGTTTAGGTGTCAGTGGAGCTGGGGACCGGCTTGTAGCTGTGGGAAGAGCTACGTCCCCTGTTATTTCAATTGTCAGTGTGCCCAGGGAGTGTTGTAGGGATGGCAGGGTCCCTTTGGTGGCTGAGGTCTGGGAAAGACAATGCTTTGCTGGATTAATCGTGTCTTGGCCATACCACATCACACAAGTGTGACAGTGCCCCAGTGGGAGGGCAATAGTGAATGGGGCTGCTCCTCTGGCCCACAGCAAAGCATCCCTGTGCCCCCGGACGGCGTTGGTGTGGATGCTGCTGGCCCAGCCCGGTGGCCAGGGCTGCCGTGTGGGGACCCCAGGAGCTGTCAGGCATGCCTTCAGCTCCTGAGGCTGGGCTCGTACCCGCTCCTTGATGCGTTCCTTCTGCTATCAGGGAGTGAGGAGCAAGACAGCTACGTCCTGCAATTT